GCGTGTGTGTGTGTGCGTGCGTGCGTGCGTGCGTGCGCGCGCGTGTGTGTGTGTGTGTGTGTGCGCGCGTGTGTGTGTGTGCGTGCGTGCGTGCGTGCGTGCGCGCGCGTGTGTGTGTGTGTGTGTGTGCGCGCGTGTGTGTGTGTGCGTGCGTGCGTGCGTGCGTGCGCGCGCGTGTGTGTGTGTGTGTGTGTGCGCGCGCGCGTGTGTGTGCGTGCGTGCGTGCGTGCGTGCGTGTGTGCGCGCGCGTGTGTGAGCACGTAAGTACAACATGTACACGACGACGACGACGATACTGGATGACATCGTAAACAACAAGAATGCATGTACCCGCGCGGGGTGCGAGTGGGGGGATGTGTGTGTGTGTGTGTGCGCGCGCGTGCGTGCGCGTGCGTGCGTGCGTGCGTGCGTGTGCGCGCGCGCGCGTGTGTGAGCACGTAAGTACAACATGTACACGACGACGACGACGATACTGGATGACATTGTAAACAACAAGAATGCATGTACCCGCGCGGGGTGCGAGTGGGGGGAGGGGCGGGGGGTGGGGGAGGTTACAAGAGAGGGCGAGATTCTTGGCTCCGCAGCGCGCGAAAACAACAGTATTGTTCTCGACAGAACTAGTGACACTCTTCACACAATATCTACTCTTTCAGAATTTCGTTGTAGTTTCACGCAGTTGACAGAATCTCATTCGAAAAGGTTCACCGTTAACATTCAATTGATAACCAACGTGACGTTGCTCAATTAACCAATGCTATACGAATGCAGTGAGGGAGAGATGGGGGCAGACACGCAGGCCGGACCTAACATGGGTCCTAACACGACACCCCCAAAACAACGAGGCAGCGTCGGTACGCACCCATGTCAGCCTTATTCTTGAACGTGAACGAACATCCCGTACGACGGCAGTGGAAGTGCGTCGTTCGCTGCTGGTAGAATTGACACTTGGGCGAGCCACAGTCTTCGGTGGCTCGGTAGCGCTGGAACCCCTCCATCATGATCGCGCTGTCCTTGCGGTGGTAGTTGGCGTGCATCTGTACGTCTGACGTACTGATGTACACCTTGTCGCAATCCGGCTACGGAATGCAAATGGCCGACGATCAGCACCGGAAACCAGCAGCAATGTCATCGGTAGCAGAAACATCACAAAATGGTGATCAGTATCGTTAGTCTAAGCTGGTATAATTTCTATATATATATATATTTCTATATATATTTGTATATATGGTCTAAGATCCCAATTTTACACTTGTTAACAAGCTCAAGTTTAGTTGCTTAACGGAGATGACTAGAAATCGCCTGGCTCTACCCTCCCACTAAGAGCCGCTACAAACGTTGCTTGAATTGTAAACGCAGTCGCTCGCTTCTCTTCAGAACAAGGATTGCCGGAGTCGAGACAGAGGTAGAGTCGAGACAGAGGTAGAGTCGAGACAGAGGTAGAGTCGAGACAGAGGTAGAGTCGAGACAGAGGTAGAGTCGAGGCAGAGGTAGAAGTCGAAGCAGAGTAGAGCGAGACAGAAGTCCAGAGTCGAGACAGAGGTAGAGGTCGAGACAGAGGCAGAGTCGAGCAGAGCGAGCGTACGAGCGAGGAGCATGGAGACTCAGAACAGAGTAGAGCGCAGACAGAGAGATCGAGACCAGACGGTAGAGTCGAGACAGAGGTAGAGTCCAAGCAGAGGTAGATCGAGACAGAGTAGAGTCCAGGCAGAGGAAGAGTCGAGGCAGGGCGTAAGTCGAGACACAGAGGTAGACGTCGAGACAGCAGGTCCGAGTCCGAGCAAGCAGAAGTAGAATCGAACAGAGATAAGAAGTCGAGACCGAGTAAGAGTCGAGACAGAAGGTAGAGCGAGAGCGAGAGAGGAGTCCCCGGAAACACAGACGGTAGATCGAGACAGAGGTAGGAGACTGAGGTCGAGGAATGACGTCAGGAGAGCAGAACAGTTATAAGAACACCCCCACACACACCTGTCATGCAGTGGAGTAGTGCGTGCGCCTTGCTTTGTGAGGCAGCCAGAGAGTAGGGTCCGCGACCAGACCGATTAACCAAAAGACAGACGGCCATAGCCACAAGGACATGGTGCGGCGACGCCGAACAAAAAAAGACTCACAAAATCGAACTTCCTCGCTGGGAGCAGTGCTATCGATGGCTGTAGCGGAAGAAGCCATGCTGGAGGGATTCATCCCGCTTCTTTGTGCCACTTGTAGTGACGTATCATCTCTCCTTCTTCACAAAACATCTGCGGTAGGAACAGCAAGCTCATAAACAATTCCTCTACACGACAGGGACCACACTCACAATATCACACTCACAATACCATACATGCAATACCACACGTACAATATCACACGCACAATACCACACGCACAATACCACACGCACAATACGCATCACGCGACAATACCACACTCGACAATACCAAATGCCACAATACCACACCCCATACGCACGCACAATAAGCCGCAGCGTACAAACCGCAGCGCGACAAACTACGCGCAGCGCACCAATACCAGCACGCACAATCACTCCGCACGCCACAAATAACCACAGCACAATACCTACGACTGTACACAATACAGCACGCAGCAATCACCAACAACACGAACAATACCCACCAACGCCCACGCATATACCCACACTCGCGTCAATATCCACACGCGCAAAGTTACACTGCATCAGCAGCTGCCACAATCTACCGCAGCGCACAAATACCTGCACGCACAATACCCGTACACGCACCAATAACCACACGCACAAAACCATTAACACACGCGCAAATTCAATACCACATCGTACAAACACACCCCCAATACCACACGCCACATATACATAAACGTGCAATTTAACCCAAGAGAACACGGTGTTAAAAAACAACCACACGTCTACTAACTACCACTCGTACAATACAACAGCGTCAATACTACACGCGTAGCAATACACAGCGCCAATATATCACACGTACACCGCGCAGGCCCGGGGCTGGGGACACAATTCCCATATTTAATGTCCACATTAATTCTAATTAATTCGCACCATTAAATCAAACCAATAGAGCCAGAGTGGCCATGTAAGACGGCAAGCGCTGAATCTTCTCACCTTCCGTCCAAGACTCTCCACCTCGCTTCTCGTCCTACAAATCCCCGCTCTCAATTGGCTGAGACGGATTTTTAGAGGAAGCGATGTGGTTGCTCGACTTTAATCATCCACATTAAAACCGTAGGCTGCGATGGTGAATTTACCGAATTAATGTGACACTAATAGGAATTTATGTGGACATTAAATAGGAATTTATGTGGACATTAAATAGGGAGTGCGATTTAATATCCACATTAAAAACTTAGCTGCGATTGGTTGATTTACGAATTTAATGTGGACATAAATAGGAATTTATGTGACATTAAATAGGAGTGGCGATTATATATCCACATATACAAAACTTAGCTGCGATGTTGATTTAGTGTGAACATTAAATACGAAATTAATGTTGTAGCATCTCAAATATGAATTAGTCGTCGCACTCGCGGGCCTGCGAACACAGTACAAGTACCAGCACGCGACAACTACCACTATCAGCACACAATACCACACGCCAATACCATACGCGACAATCTACACCACACGCACAACTAGACACACGCACACAATACCATACGCACAATACCACACGCACCAATAACACACGCAGCAATACCAACACCAATACACAGCGCACAATTACCACACGCCAGCGAATACCACACCGCACAATACCACACGCGCAATACTACACGTACAATACCACACGTACAATACCACACGCACAATACCACACGCACAATACTACACGTACAATACCACACGTACAATACCACACGTACAATACCACACGCACAATACCACACGCACAATACCACACGCACAATACCACACGCACAATACCACACGTACAATACCACACCACAATACGCAGCACGGTAGCAACCAAACGTACAATATCCACACGGCACAACTCACCCACACTACAATACCAACACGCAGCGAGAGACCACAGCGTACAATACCACACGTACAATACCATATCTAAAGAAGCACACCAATGTGGCGACACTGCAGGGACCACGCCTGATCCACACATAACAGAACATGTAACCAAGAAACAAGAAATAACTAATAAACCTAGCGAAACGCATACCCACTACAGACCCCTCACCCACGTTCATCCGTTGCAGACTAGCGATCCCTAGCCACAGCCCTCTAAACACCTCATAGGCCACGAGGAATATGTCCAGAGAACCACTAGCACAGGTTCTAACGTCTCACAAGGAGCTAACGTATTAGCTTATGTGCCTGACATCAGTATTTACTCTTATAAAATACACGAATATTTCTGCTACCTTGCTCAGGCAGTCCAAGCAATGGAAATGCTCGCGATAGTAAGTTCACACAAGGCAGAGTTCGGCTCGCATGCAGTCCTCCCAGCGGACGCGAAACCTGGAGGTAAAAGCAAAGAGCGGAAACATAACACGAAATCAGACCACAAACTCCATTTTAACCACCAACGTGGTGAAACCAAGCAGTGCATAAACATCCTGTTATGTTATATCCTTATATGTGGCAGCAGTTGTGACACACGTAAACTTGGACTGTGAAAACAGATCAGGGGGCCGTTGACAGAAACATTGTAAAGTTAATGCTAATGTTAATATTAAGAGGAAATTTGGGAATTTGGATTAAGAGGAAGTAGGATTTTTCGTTCTCGTAAATTTACGATGTTTCTGTGAGCGGTTTACGAGTCAAAGTTAATGCTAAGCTAACCAATATTACTTCTGACAACGGCCCCCTGATATTTCGGCTACAACCATTCTACACAACGATCCGATTTTTCCATTTGACCATACCGAGTTAACCATTTTGAGGTTTGATTATGTGTACATGGACTTCTACAAATTTGCTCACGTAAATAAAACATACAATAAACACAGATGGACAAGGAAAAGAGACCACCAGATGGCATTAGAATCGACTGCTAGGTGATTGAACCTTCTACCAGGTGGTTTAAAGTAGATTCTTAGGTGATAGTGCTAACAGAAACCTACAGGTGACACGGTCATTGAGACGGTGACGTCGCCTGTTTTGGCACATTTCCACCAGCTTTTTGGACCACAATGTGAATGTAGCGAGGGCCAAACCAGCCGCACCACACCCCACAGCGCCATCTATAGCAGCTTTACACAGATCAAGATGACATAACTTATGTAGGATAAATGTACACAATCTACATAATATTAAAGGGACTATAACGATGACGTCATAGGTAGGCTTCAGCGCAAGCTTGTTCAATAATTACCGCCTGTCCTACCGAACAGTCGGTGCATTACTATGGTAACTGCCCATTTCGTCTACTTCCCATTTCATCTACTCCCATTTCATCTAATCCCATTTCATCTACTTCCCATTTCATCTACTTCCCATTTCGTCTACTTCTATTTCGTCTACTTTGCATTTCATCTACTCCCATTTAATCTACTTCCCATTTCATCTACTCCCATTTCATCTACTTCCATTTCATCTACTTCCATTTCATCTACTTCCATTTCATCTACTCCCATTTCATCTACTTTCCATTTCATCTACTTCCCATTTTGTCTACTTCCCATTTCATCTACTCCCATTTTGTCTACTTCCCATTTCATCTACTCCCATTTTGTCTACTTCGCATTTCATCTACTCACATTTCAACTACTTCCCATTTCATCTAATCCCATTTCATCTACTTCCCATTTCATCTAATCCCATTTCATCTACTCCCATTTCATCTACTTCCATTTCATCTACTTCCCATTTCATTAACTCCCATTTCATCTAATCCCATGTTCGTACTAATCATCAGAATGATAATACCCACATTTCGTCTACATTTATATACTAGTTTCAGTTTTTTCCGACTCTTTACCGCTAAGGAGTATATTTGAGTCTGACTGCCTACACAGTTGACTGCCTTGGCTGGGAGCTCTGGCCACCGTACGAGCAGCCGAGCATGACGAACTACGCAAGTGAGTGATCGGGCGGTATTAGCGCAACATGACTCGCACAGACAGAATATGCAGCCACAGGCGAGCGAAAGATTACTGGTGAGATAATACTCGGACAGCGCGCACCGTCATGGGGCAATGACACAACGCAAGCACACTGAGTAGGGGACTGACCCCTCGCCATTCTCTCCCTCCCATCCGCTCCGATCCCTCCTCCCTCCTCCCTCCCTCCATCCCTCGCCTCCCGTCCTCCTCTGCCTGCCTGCCTCCCTCTGCCTGCCTGGCCTGCCCGTCCCTGCCCTGGCCTGGCCTGCCTGCCTGCCCTGCCTGCCTGCCTGCCCTGTCACTTGCCCTGTTGGGAGGCGTCGTTCACAATCAGCTGTGAGCCTGTCCATAACCATCACGCTCACTAATTCTATGTACAGGTTATTCTAATACCGTAAACGAATTCATATCAGAATGATAGGCCGCGCAACGCGGACCACGCACCGCACGCACAGCACGCACGCACGCAACGCACGCACGCACGCACGCACGCAACAGCACGCACGCACGCAACGCACCACGCACGTTCGTGGAGAACTGAATGGGGTGCCGAAAATACCGAGCATTTACGTAACGTAACTGACGTTTAGAGATTACGTTGCATGTGCTGCAGAGTGGACGGAGACTGGTATTATACTAGTATAGAGTCAGGGGGAGGAGGAGGAGGGAGAGAGGAGGGAGAGAGAGGAGGGAGCAGAGAGGGGGAAGCGAGGGAGAGAGAGGGAGAGAAGAGAAGATAGAGGAAGAGAGGGGAGGGAGGAGGAAGGCTAATAAGAGAGAGAGAGAGAGAGAGAAACTAGAGAGAGAGAGAGAGAGAGAGAGAAAGAAGGGAGGAGGTAAAAGAAGAGAGAGAGAGAGAGAGAGCGAGAGAGAGAGAGAGAGAGAGGAGAGGAGAGAAGAGCGCGAGCAGAGAGAAGAGAGAGAGCGAGAGCGGAGGAGAGAGAGAGAGAGAGAGAGAGACGAGATGAAGAGAGAGAGAGAGAGAGAAGAAGAAGAGAGAGAGAGAGATAGAGAGAGATGAGAGAGAAGAGAGAAGAGAGATGCGAGAGAGAAGATGAGAGGAGAGCGAGAGAGCGAGAGAGAGAGAGAGAGAGAGATGAGAGAGAGCAGAGACGAGAGAGAGAGAGAGAGAGAGAGAGAGAGTGAGAAAGAGTGAAGCCGCTTGGAATGTGACGTCAAGAACCTAGGTGCTGCAACAGAAATAGCAGTAATAGGAGTGTTGCTATTACAGGCACGCAGAATTATATGCAAAGCGCTGAAATAGGGCGCTTGCTGGCTATCAGTAGAAACCACCTATTTCTGTCTGCACCCTCGACAACCGCTCCCGTAATAGCATTAACCGGCAAACGCAGCTTTTTTCCGCGGTCTCCGTTATGCGCGATATATCGAGAGAAAGAGAATATTCGGGGCGGATGTGATCGGCCATGCGGCAGCGCCCCGAAAAAAAAATGCTCGAAGTTGAAATAGTTTGCGTATCTGTTTTCATTGCAGCTGTTGTCAATAAAGTTAACGACCTCCCCGTGAAGAAATTCATCGAATATCGCCATTTCAATGGCCGCCATCGCGATGCTGGCCCCCGTCTGGTTTATGGGAGGACATCCGCGAATGCGCGCACCACAAACTTAAAAAATCGTTTAAAAAGTTCCACGTGTATCGTGACAACACGACGAATCGAGGCGATGTTTGGGAGAAGGGGGGCGCAAGTAAGGATACACGATTGCTTTAGGCTATCTCTGACATCAATGGTTTTATCGCCTATACGCGTAGCACGTCGAAATATACGTGCACGCCATATATAAAACATCATTCTCCATAATGAAGACCAATGTTGTATCTTGCACATTAATACTAATACCATGCTAAACTACCATGCTATACAATTAATACTAATATTAACATTAATATTAATAGTAATACTAATACTAATACCATTGCCCTAGGCGTGACCACCTGATATACACTGTAATTACCATTACTGAGTAGACCTCATCCACCCTACCTTGGCTATCCCTTCTATTTTCTGACCCTGCTATGCGGCCGACACCGACCCTACCTGAGGGATGGTTACCCATCCTACATTTGTACCCTCATGTGTATACGTCAACCACCCTCCCCGATGGATGGGCTTCGCTCCGACATTGTTACTCTGCTATGAAGAGCAGGTCTTACCCGACGCCTTACTCTCTGCTTCCTACCTTATTAGCAGGCAACGCAGACCACGCCTCCACTACCATATACGCGCATGAGTTCGACGGGCTGCTTGGATGTGCTTGACAAATTGATATCACTCTGGTGATCGGGTGAGAGAGGGAGAGAGGGGGAGAGGGAGAGAGGGAGAGGGGAAGAGACGGGTGAGAGAGGGAGAGAGGAAGAGACGGGTGAGAGAGGGAGAGGGGAAGAGACGGGTGAGAGGGAGGGGAAGAGAGAAGGGGAGAGAGGGTGAGAGAGGGAGAGAGGGAGAGAGAGGTTGAGAAAAGGAGAGAAGGTGAGAGAGGGAGAGAGAGAGAGAGAGAGAGAGAGAGAGAGGGAGAGAGAGAGAGAGAGGGAGAGAAGGGAGGGAGAGAGAGAGGGTGGAGGGAGAGAGGAGAGAGAGA